TCATCCCGTAGACAAGCGAAATACATTATATTATAGATATTATATAATGTAGCTTTAAAAAAATTACTCCGTGTCGAAAATTTCCTAAATGGGAATAAAATTCCTTTGTTAAACGTTCAGAAAAATTTTAAAAGTCAGTTGTTAAATTTCTTTAACTGTGTAATTTTTTTGAGCAAAAGATGTTTTCTCGTGTTTTGTGAAATTTGTTGTTAGGTGTATTGGGGTTTATACAAAAGTGCAGTCCTTACATTGAAGGCCCTATATACTGGAATATTTCTCTTGTAAAAATTACATCATTTTGATACTGAAGAGTGTATTTACTTCGGCACTTAAAATTCATCATAAATGGCATTTTATGGACCGAGGAATGATTGCCATTGAAAAATTGTTGGATTGGCCATTATATTTGCTACAATACATTCTCACCAGATATGTTTCTATTGGTGTCCTTTTGTCTAAATCTTTAGAGTTTTCAACGCTACACGAGTCAACTGCTGGTGTGGCCTTCAAACTTTTTCGTGGTATTTTTTGAAAGTTTACTATGATAAAACTGCGGAACGTGTTTCCAGATAAAATTTTATACAATACAAAATTATTAATTTACCTGTAACAAAAAGCCGACAAAGACAATTCTGTTACAATTTTGTATTCGCAAAAAACAGTATTGCCTATAGCAAAAACCGAAAACCTGACAAGAATGAGACGAACAAAAAATTTTCTGTGGAATGTAATTACTGCCTAAGTGATCCAAGAAGGACACAAAAAAAGATGAACCGGGGCAGGCGGACTCGGAATCGAACCTAACTAATATCTAACAGGCGGGCTGAAACGTTCGTAGGCTGGCATAAAAAAAAATATCTTTGTTATAGAATTTGATTTTATTATTCAATATACATAGTTCCCTTCGAGGGCGATACAACTATTATAGCGGTCATACAATTTTTCGATACCATTTTTATAGCCTCAAAGTAGGCGTCAGTTTCGGCGATTACCTCTTCATCGGCGTGAAATTTCTGTCCAGCGAGCATCCTCTTGAGGTCTGAGAACAGAAAAAAGTCGCTGGGGGCCAGATCTGGAGAATACGGTGAATGCGGAAGCAATTCGAAGCCCAATTCATGGAATTTTGCCATCGATTTCATTGATGTGTGACACGGTGCATTGTCTTGAGGAACCAGCACTTTCTTTTTCAAACATCAAAAGTTCTTTCACTAAAAATGCTATAACTCAGATACTAATATTCCAACAGCTGTCAAATTTATACACGTGTCTTTTGAAGGTTAGGACTAACTAAAAATCATATGGATTTATTACTAGTAGAGCCATATATGTCAGCCTACGAACTGTTCAACCCGCCCTTGTATACCTCCAGACCATGCCGCTTGATTCTTCTTCTAACTCGCAGCAATAATTTATAGGGTCTGTATTTTCTTTTATACAAATTCCCAAATACGTGTTCTAGTGAATCCTGACTTTCTTTGACCATCTCTGGCATCTTTTTACGTGAGTATATTCGATTGTATATAAATATATGATCACAAGGATACATCTGAGGACAGAATCAAATAAACTGGTGAAGATAAGCAGCAGTAGATTCGGTTCTGTAATCAAGGAAGGAATCAGACTAATTCCGTAGTAGAATAGATGAAATGATCAATTTTAGACTTAATATATAATAAATTTTTCGACCCCGGATAGTTTTGATACTAACCCTGTT